ACGTTTTTTCTTGCTTTTTTGTTGGTCAAGATGATGGAAGTGCATGAGAACTGGTAAATATTTAACTAGTCAGTAGCAAGCAAAGGCAGGCCATGCCTAGATGCGAACGAACACATACGTGTTCTCGGTTTTACTGATGCTCTGGCTATTCCAGCACTCAGCAGATATTTTGTCTTTAGCTTGCTACTTCCTTTTATTCACAAAAATCTTAAGTGACTTGTTTCAGCCACCAACACAATACAAACATGAGAGCAGCCTGGGCTGCACTTTATGGAAAGTTAGCAAAAGCAGGAGATGCTGCTCAGGAAAAGCACACAAGCCTGACCATGACCTCCCCCCTCATATTCCTCCAGCATGCTCAGTCATTCATTGGATTTGGGAAGCTAGAGAACGCGTTCCTAGATACTACCTTTATTACCTCTAAATGGGTTTTTACATGCCTGAGCTAAGAGTTGACTGAAGTTTCTCAGCAGATGATACACTGCAAGTCTGGATGTGATCCTGGGCAATATGCTCTAGAGGACCCTCCTCGAGCAGGGAGGTTGGACTAGATGATCTCCAGAGGTCCCTTCCAACCTAAACGATTCTGTGAAGTCTGCACAACATGCCTTTCCACCCTAGAGCAGCCTACGCAACGAGGTCTAACGCCAACGATCAAAGAGACAGCAGCCCATAAGCCAGTCTGTCTGCCTGTGTCCTTGCAGAAGATAGCTTTGCACAGCATCACGCCAGCCAGAATTACTGTTAGCCAACATGACACTGAACTGATCTGCACTGCTGTCAGAGCTAAATGATAATGACCGTTTCAATTTTTTGGCTTGTGGAAACTCTTGAAGATACCTGAAACCTGTGATGATGAACCAGACATGATTGCATTTCTTTGCTATGCTGGAAGGAAATAAAAATTGGACTATATGAGAGATTAACAGATTTTTCTTAAAAAGTTATTTTCTTATTGGCTAAATACTCTCTATGGCTAAAGTTAGTCTACGTTCAAAAAACAGGCATTAGAAGTTCAAATAGGGTATCTTTTTTAGAGCTGCGAATTTTCCACCACTAGGAAAGCAAGTAAATACAGCCATAGGGGGTACATGTAGCTACAAAGACAGCTTTAGCTATAAGCTTTAGAAGAGACTGATGCTTCTTTGAGTAACAGCAGGTAAGCTCAGCTTCTGTCAACTTATGAACCCTGCCAAGACAAGATGATCTCTGTTCACTGGGAAGCGCAACTCCCCCAGGTACCGATACTCTAGAGAACATCTTCCCAGTGCTGGTACACTGGAGTTCAGACTCGTTAAGGGCTTGAAATTAAAAGGCGAAACAGAAAGCAAGAAAATTCATAATAGCAGCATTTGGTAATATCGCTCTATATTTTACACTCCACGACCACACGCGCAACAGGCAATTAGTCAAAATTAAATATTCCTATTGCTCTGGAGAGATCACAGAGCTGATGTAGTTTAGACTGAAAACACTCCAACTTTTTAAGTATTGGCAGCTCTACAGCTGCAAAAGGAAATAGGCAGAGTGAGAGAGCAAAACATAGGAGGAATTTAAAGAACAGTGTAACAGAAAATAATTGTTATCATCCAAATAGAAACTGCAAAAACACCACTTTATGGAAAGTCTTTGCTCTGTCAGCTCACTAAAACCAGAACCAAATCTCTATTACACAAATACTAAAAATGGTCCAAAACAACTGACAAAAAAAAAAAAAAAAAAAAAAAAACCAAGAGCAAGGAACTCCCTCACACGAACAATTTTGCAGAATTTTCTGGCAATTAAATAGCTTGTCCTAACCCGAGAAATCACATGAAAATCCCTCCTCTATCTTTCCCAAGAGTAAGATAAACAAACACGGTTTCACAGGCGTCTTAATAAAAAACGTAAAGCTACAATTAAATGGCTTGGCTAAATCTCTGGTTTTATATCTCTGATAAAAAACTGAATTACAAGGAACACTTCCTTCACTGCAAAATATAAAAACATCATAAACTTGATTTAAGAAGAGATGACATTTTGAAATGGAAATATATTTCTATCAAACATTTTAGTTAAAACTGCATAATCTGACTGAAAGCAAATATCTCAATAACATGTTCTGAGCGTTTTTAAATGCTTCATTTCTCTCGCTGCTCACTGCATTATTTCACTAAGTGAAAAGTCAACTACAACCTACTCAGTTCTCAAAGGATATTGTTTCTCCATTCTAATTACCCAAATCTGAGCAACATATGACCATTATCTTCAATGTACAGATGAAAGTGTTCCAAAAAAAAAAGTTACTTGCCTATGTTCCCATGGTGATGCATTGGTAGAGGAAAGAACAAACCCCAACTGCTCCTTGGCCTCTACGTTAAATGGTAATACCTCGTTTGCAGATGCAACGGAATTATCAGCAGAGCCCTAGTCTCCACATTAGCATGTGATACGAGGCCTTTATACTGCCTTAGCAGCCTTTACAAATTTTTAAACCCTAAATGTGAATAAAAGCCACATTTACATTTCCTTAAAATATTTCCATATAAAACTAACAACGAAAGCAACGCTTAACAGTTTGTCTAATTATTCAGGTTCCAACTGGGTTACGAGGACCTCAGCTTCCCATCCAAGCTAGTCCTTGCAGCGCCTCGGGAGGCCTCCCACACCACTTCTCACAGCCCCATCGCACTGCAAAGCTTCACGGCTCCCCACACACTCAAGAAAACTCTGTGTCAGGACTGGATGTCTACGAATATTCAGGAGGGTAACATGCTTTTCTTCCACATTTTAAAACTCATCCCTTCAACAGCATATTCAGAACACCTCTTTAATCAGATGAGAAACACATTCCCTTAGGAGCAACTCCAAAATGCAGTCCAACATTATTCAATTATATCCTAGGAAAAATTCAAGTTTTATAACAATGAACAGATTTACAAAGCTTTCAGGTGTGTGTGTGGAGCGGGGGGGGGGGTTTTTTTAAGCTAAGTTCCTTCCACCCCTGGAATTAACAAACTTTGAGACTTGATCTAAGCAAAAGCCTCTATTATTTGCTCCGAGCCAATGAAGTTTAAAAAAAAAAAAAACAAAAACACACACACACACACACCCTCACCCACACCCCGGGCCCAAACAAAAGCTCTCCTTTTTAAATGATTTAATAAGGAAATTGCAACCAAAACACTGCATATGCAGACACAGATGACACCAGTGTTAGTCTAAGTACAGAATCAGCTCCTTGCCCCCACTGAATAGTAACAGATTTTAGAGGTAAGGGATACAAAAGAAAATGACAAACCTCACATTCAAAAACTCAGAGGGCTTTAAAGAAACCTTACCAGATGATTATTCAAGATGATTAGCAAACCATAAATCTAGATTTGAGGAATATGAGACAAATTCACAGCAAAAATATGCTGACAAGCACTATTAAAAACTTTAACTTTGCCCACTTTCGAGCAAGGTGACACACTTATGTCAGTGGTAAGGCTACATTCCCAAACTTTTCTGCTAGCCTAATACACCTTAAAGGCACCTATGCTTTCCAGTTTATCATGCTTATTAAGTAACATTTTCAGTGACATGATTAGATTTGCCACGTTCTGTACTTTGGAAGGCTACACACATGCACACTATTGTTTAAAAAGAAAAGCTTACAAACTGTTTGTGTAAATGTATACACAAAAGTATAAACCTAGGACAACAGAAACACTAGAAAAAAGTGACCAAAATCATCAAGCTATTTCAAACACTGAAAAAGGAGCATCACGCTCTTAAATCTGTGTTCAGAGCTTTTTCCTTAACTGTCTTCATCGAAACAGCAATTCCAGTGACTCTAAAAGATGATATTAGTCCATGAACTAGTCTCATTACTATAAATGCTGTCACAGAATAAAGTAAATTGCAGCCTACATTTTTTGAACTTACATTTCAATTCAAATGACCCAAGACAAAAACATCTACACAAATAGCAAATGCCAGCAACTTCTCAAAAGATTCTATTCTTTCTGTCATAAAATTCTGCACGTTAAAACAGATGCTTGAATTTAACTTTCAGACAAAAGAGGAGGAAAAAAGGGGAGGAATGAAGTGTTCCAGTTCTGACAAATTATACATGAACTGATACTTGATTCTGTGCTCCGGTAGCCACTTGCAATCTTTAAAACTGGTTAGTACAGTTTTTGTTAACACACTTAGAGAACAGTTAGCTTGCAACAGGCAGATACTAACTACAATATTAAAATAACTTGTCCAGAGTTAATTGCTTCTATTAAGTGATTCCTGCAAATATGACAAAGGTATCATTAGAACAATGCTACTTAAAACTACATGGTGGCTACTGAAGTGTAACTTTACTATCTAAAAGGAACAAATGCAGAGGATCTTCTCTTGGATATATTTAGATTATTCTTCCATTTCACATTGTACCACCAAATATCTGAATTTTAAATATTTCTATTTCATTTCAGTGCAAACAATGATCGGGTCAATAGCAGATTTGCAAACACACACATTCAAAATAACTGGTTTCCAGGATAAAACACCCAATACGCCGTGTCTGTCCTTAACATAACTTCTCACACAGGGATAAGCTAGTCAGTTCTCAAAACCCTATTCTCAAAACAGGTCTTGCTTTCTGGTCTGGAAGGCTATCTTTACACATTTTCAATAGTAAGATAACATTTTAACACAGTACCAAAACATCTTTTATTAATTTCCAACAATTTGGAAACACATTAATAAGACAATACAAAATTTGAGGCTTTGAGACAAGCGACATACACCCAAGCAATAAAATTCTCCCACATGATTACTCAACTTCCACGTTTGTCTTTTTAAAATAAGTCCAGTTTAATGCTTGTTTTCAACATTTTATATGATCTAATTATTCAAACAACAGGTTTCAGAGCAAGTGCATTCACATTCTGTCATTTATGTGGCATGTTTCCAAAGAAGAAAAATAATCTGTAAGCACAAGAAAACTGGTATGATTAAGAACAAATAAAAGATTTAACTACCTCATTAGTGTTCCAGCGATGCCTCTCTTTCGGTAGACTTGAACATTTTGGTAGACATTCAAGCAGCTTCTTCGGTAAAAAGATTTTTACATGACTGCCATTGCTGTTCCCATGATCATCTGGAAAGAAGAGAATACACATGAGGTATATATAAAGTAGACAAAGTGGTTTCTATTTGGGGATTCTATTTATACAACACTTGGAAATCCACTGGTTCACTTGTTAAGAGCAGATAATTTGTCACAGCAAGTAAGAACATGACTTTCTCTTTATTTCTAAGGAAAAGGTTTAATTTCAAAACATACATACATATGCCTGTAATACCGTCTATATTAGCTTATTAGTTTCCTTAGTGACAAATTTTACAAGCAATAGTAACAAAGTGTTATAGAAGTTGCGGCCACATGGGGGTGATCTTCTAGAAAAGGCATAACTTCAGTTTGCACTAGACGGGATTTGCAGATAAATAAGCACTGAGCTCTAGTACCTGCCTCAGTTTTGACAAGCTGCAGCAAAAATAAAACTCAAGGTCTTATTAGGTGCCTATGCAGCTATTTAAAACTCTGAAATGCACCGTATCTGATTAAAAACAGGTTACTTTTCTTTCCATGCCAGCTTAGAAAGGGCATATAGTTCCTCAGAACGGAAATGTGGTAAGAGTAATATAAATCCTCCTACCTAGTTGTACCCAGATATGTCAAAAGCAGAAATACTGAAGAATAAAATATTATTTTCTGTTGCTAAAAAAAGTAGACAGTGCATTGATTTCCCTTAAAGACAAAACAAAAAACCTGAAGCTCCAGTGACAGTAGCCTAGTAGAGGTCCCATAAGCATTAATATCATTATGTTTTTCTATTGCCGCTCTAACAGCGCCTAAAGAATAAGTGCATTCTGAACTGTGCATGTTTACAGACCAAATCAGTTCCCACAGAAAAGGAAACAGATCAGCAGGATAAAGCCTCCGTGCTGCACAAGCTAGGGAATACTATGCAAAAGTTTTATGGGGTCTCTATCTCAGGTCTCCCACCCCTGCTTTCTCCCACTATTCTCACACTTCTGCAGCCCAGTATGTCATGTATAGACTCTTTTCATCTTATTTATGTACCTTACAAAGTTAACTTCTAGTAATTTCACATTTGGAAATGCACAGAAAAAATGATAGTAGCTTTTTTCTTTCACATATCTATATATTTTAGGTCATAAAACAGATGCCAGCGTCATGTTAGAACTCCTTTGTAATTAGGTATTACACAGAAATTTGCAATGACCCATATCAAACAAAAGAGAATCTGGGCTTCAATCATTTAAGAAAGCTGAATAAGAGTGCAAACTAGTAGCTAAACATCCCTAATATTTTAAAAGCTTGATTATACTCTTGGACGTGTCAAGTTCAACAAAATCCATGCTGTTAAATCAACTACTCATGCAAACACAGCAGATGAGTTTACGAGATAAGCAGTGATGTGCATGATAAACGTGAGCTGCTCTATGACTACTGCATATATCAGTGAGCTATTGGGAAGTTTACTGTATGACTACATTAGTCTAAATCAATAGGGTTGCCAAAAATCAAGCAGGAAGGGTTTAGCAGCTCCAAACGAGCTGTTTCAGGGTTGCCAAGAGACAAAAGCCAAGCTGTCAAAGCCCATCTCCTCATTCCAGTCCAGGCACACACACTCCCCCAACTCGCTCTGCTTAAGGCCGTCATAGGACACTGGTAGAAAGCCCATCCTGTGAACAAACAGCTGCTGGGCAACTGAGCTGAGTGATGTGAATGACCCACAGGGCACAGAAGTTAAGCCCCACTGCGACAACATCAGGGCTGCTTACACAAGAATAAAAAGTTCCTCTCTCCTTTTTCAAATCTTCAAAATTTTTTAAATTTAAAGAATACTTTACATGACTGTAGACAGCCTTCTTTTGCTACTCAGCTAAAACATCATCAAAGTCTATACATGCTGATCTTCAGAGTAGCAGTGTATCATGAACAAAAAGGTCTCAACTTAGAAATTTTACTTAGTTTAATCTACTGCCAACTAACAAACTCTTAATTAGTGATTTGGGTATTAAGGAAAACAAATAAGCACTTGACTGGTTGAAGTTTTGCCGCGCAGTGGGTTATTTTCATGCACTGCAGAGGCAGCTGGACCCAGCTGTGACTGGCACAGGGCAGTTGATGGCCTCCTCCCATCCTGCAGGTCACCCCCGCAGCCCCCCACTACTGAAAACCTGCAATTTATGCCCAATACACACAGAAGGTTTGACACCTCTTTTAGAGGAAGAATTTGAGTACAAGATTTAACCCTAGCTTTGTACTTTTCCCATTGTAAACAAGCAGTTGGACAGTATCAATCTTTGTTAACTCATAAAAAAGCAGGAAGAAAGAAGAAAGTTCAATTGTTTTTATGCTATTCGAGTATTTCTAGTTTGACACTGAATATCGGACCATGCGACAGAAGCAGGCTACTCTGTATGACTTTTACTGGGGGGGTATGCACATATTCTGCATATGTGACCATCATCTTCACTATTTCCCATTACTCACTTTTTTAGCCCATCAAAAGCTTCACAAATATGTACTTAACGACACAATGCTATCCATTAAAATAGCAATTCACATGGGGGTTGGGAATTAAGCTTTCCAGGGCCCTACCATGGTCACAGTCACTCAGTAACTCATATCCTGAGATTGGTCATCCAATTTAACTGCCATCTACTTAACATTTACTATGTTCATTTTGTATCGTTTTCATTTCTCATTCAAAACATTGCATTGCACTACATTCACTTCATTAAGAAACAAAGTATTTTACATTAGACATTACTACTTTTATCAGCCAAACTACATCCCAAGTTACATCTCATCAGCTTATTTCCATAGGCACATTTTAATTGATATTAATTGTATTACTTTCCTTTACCTCCATATCAGTCAAGTCCTCTATCATTCATTCCACTATTTTGCAAGGCTGGCAGACCTATAATTATTCAGCTCATTTTATTAACTTTCTTTCACTGCCATCAATTATCAGTATTAATAATCCAGAAAGTGCCTGAGGATAGATCCCTTAAAAATGTTTTGGTACAAGCTATCAGAACCTGCTGACTTTAAACCTTCTAACTCATATTGTTAGTATCTCGAATTTTTGTATTACTACAGCAATGGAAGGTATTTTTCATCATCTGGTAATATGACTGTATCTTGTGGCCTACTCTCACAATAAAGCAAAAATATATGTTTAATGCTTCGCTTTTCTGCATTTACTAATGACACGTCTTCGTTCCAAAACATACCCAACGTAGAAAACGGTAATTGTCGCCTTCCTCGATCACTCAGGCTTTTCATTAACGAATCCTCTAGCTGTACAGCCAGGATGACATACAATAACCATGTCACATTAAGCGAATGCTAAATTCAATGATCTCTAAAACAGATTTTACCTTTCAGAACAACAAAGTTGGCCAAGTAGCTATGCAGATTAAACAAGAAAGCGTGTCACTCTGAAGTGACACCATACACACTTGCTTTCAAACTTGTTTCTTTATTCAGTGTTGTGGAATCACTCATGACAATCCAAACTCTGAAAACGGTTCTCGTATGCCCCTCTATCACATGCTTTATGCCTTGGACTTTGAACATAAAGATGTGCCACTGCATGGTTCTACTTGCTCAGACATACTTCTGATAAAATGTGAGAGTGTCATATACAAATGCATACCTACTACCTATTCTATTTTCTTCTTTTATTTTGTGTCAGGAGCAACACTAACCCACTATTTGTGACATGTCCATATTCCACAGTGGAAGAAAACTATGCAGATTAACAGTCAAAGCTAAGTACAAAAGATGAAGATTGTCGTCCTAGCTGCAGCACCAGGGTTCGTGGATGACCTTGGTCTCTCCTGGACCTCCATTCCCATGATTCAATTTCCTTCTTCATAAAGTGGCATCAGTAGATCTCAAAGCATCGCACAGAATCTGGTATCATTATGTACAGACCAGCAACCAAGAATTCAAAATCCTCCAACTGAAATATTGTTTTGCTGCTCATGTTCCTGACAAATAAACTCAATCTTTTTAATCAACATACGCAAATTTTTAGGGAGATGGAGCAGAAAGGAGTGGTTGTTCTTTGGCATGGAACACAAATCTCATTTCTAGTCAACCTGATTTACCCACTCATCTACCATACAGTCTTCTGATAAAGTTAGCAAAATACGAATCAATACTATTTGGTATTCATGCCTGACGCACGGAGCACCAGTACATTCCAGAGGGAGTATTTTACGTTTAGAACTAAATTTTCCTCTGTAGTTAAAAAAAAAAAGTTGCAATTTCACAATGCTTATTTGAGCTTACTGCGCAAATCCAGGCAAATTTGTACTCAAAACTTTTTTTGCTAGTATATTTTTGCTACGGGTGTGACTTATGACATTGTGATCTGCAAACCCTTCTAGTGTCAATAAAAAGTGCTTTTGTAAGCAAAGCTGCACTTACACAAGGAGGATTTGCCAGTAAAGCTGTATTGACAGGGGTTTTTTTTAGTGTAAACCTGGCCACAGTTCAGAAAAGATTCCCAAGGCATGAGCAGCCACTTTGGATAACTACAATAAGGAAATTATATACTAAAATAAAGCAGTCTACAATGTTATCTTGTTATGATTCAATATGAAAATATGACTAAGTTCCATTAGCAATCTTCAAGAAATATTTATTAGTGAAACAAAAACTCACATGAAATTAAGTACAACTATTATAAAGTTTACAGAAAGTTCCGTATTAATTATATACTATAAACCCTTTGTAATTTTATGGGTTTGTTCATGCTCCTTGCACTTTATCCTCCCAAGGGATGCAACATGAGCCATAAAACTTTAAAGCACACAACAGCAAATCACAGCGAGTCTCCAACATTACCCTCCCTCTCCAAAAAATCCCCCCCCTTTTTTTTTTTTTTTAACTGGTCCTTAAATTTTCTGTGATCCAGAAGGTGGACTTAGAACTCTAGACAATTTAACTACCATAGTTAATCAATATAATCACAGAATGGTTGAAGTTGGAAAGGACCTCTGGAGATCATCAAGTCCAACCCCCCTGCTCAAGCAGGGGCCTCTAGA